TTTTTTAAATGGTTATAAGGCCAACAATGTTTTATTGGAGCAAGATTGTTGGGCAATCAAGAATCATTTCCAAAAAACAAGTGTGCAAAAAATGTGAATATTGAGATGGATTAATGGGAAAACTATAAAGAGCAAGCGTTAATGGCTGAACCCTCTAAGGACAGTAGTTAGGCAGCCCATCTTCAGTTGCTTTCTTGTTAAAAGTCCTATTTAGAATATCAGCATTTCCTTTATAAATACCCCCCCCCCCTCATGTGTGTGTGTTTTACTTAAATCAGAAAGAAAAGTCCATTTTCAAAGTATCCTTGACCCAACTGGGTCGCTCATCTACCCAACCTGATCCCATCGTTAATATTTTCAGCAAAAGCTTCACAAATATCTAAAATTGCATAAAAGAGAGAGTCAGATGAGGTCTACGATGATATCTGTTGATACTTGATCCATCAGTGCTTGAATTGTCACCTGAGAATCGGACTCCAAAATCAGCTTCTGAGCTCTCAATAATTCTGCAGGAATCACCAGAGAAACCCGCAGATGAAAAAAAGAAATCCTCTATATCACAATTGGCAAAGGACCATTAGCAACAAAGTCTTTTTACAGAAAAATTAAAATTTGAGGGTCTTTGATTTTTCCAATAAGATAACCTTGGATGTAACCCGAACAGGATTTGGTTTCCTTTTTATCAAATGGAATTTTTTTTTTTTTTTATAGATCGGCATTTATCAAATGGAGCCTTAGAATTTGGTATAAAATATAAATGATCGGGAACATGGTTAGCTGTAGCTTTCATGCAAGCCTGGAAAAAGCCCTTAGAAAAAGACTTAATTTCGAATTGGGGCATCATGATTCATGCCCCTGCGAAATCCAAACCACCAAGCTCTAACAACCAAGATAAAATAACACACATCCAAGAGGTTCCTACTTCCTACTCATTCGGCTCATTCGGGGATAGAGGGCAGATAGATTTGAGATGAAAATGATGTGAAATTAGCTTGTCTTTAGTACCAGTACCCACACACACACACAATGGGCTACAATGAGAAGACCTGATTTTTATGCATTTTGGGTTACAATGGTTTCTTTCCAGGACAACTTATGTACTTCTTTATTACATGTATATTCGTTTTAATATATATTCGATATTTTATTTTATGCTTACAACCTTTTCTACTTAAACAAAATAATCATTTTACTTAATATGTACGTATTCTTAGTCTGTTTTTCAATATAAAATAAATTATAAATTTTTCATATGATATTTTTCATCATATACAACTGTATTGGGAACTAAATGGCTTGTGAGAATGGACGAAAGAGAGTTTGACAAATTTGTTCAAATTTTTACTGCATTGGCAATTTCTATTTTATTTATTCTAAAATTTCAGATTTAAAGAAACTATCACTTGTCATTTTTACTTTGTAAATTGGTGGGTCCCCACTGTTATGGGTTATGACTGAACATATGAATGGACTGACCATGGGGAGATGCCATTCTCACTTGTGGTAAAAGTAAAGAGATACTAATCACTGGATTGAACGACTACATTGGCTGAAAATTAATAGTCTATTATCACTTTTATCTTTTATTTCTTATATACATATAAGTAGATAGGAAAATCAAGCTGCACATATGCATATATGGCATGTGAAGGAATACTGCCAGGAAATTCTATACAATTTTGCTATGGTTAAATATGAAGGCTGCTACCTTCTTTTTTTGCCAGAAAAAAAAAAAAAAAAACTTTTAGTATCATTTCACATCACATGCCCATTAATTATTTCATAGTGATGGAATCTGCTCCTCACAGATGGGCGCCTCACAGACACATCTACCATGCATTAGGAACATCTCCCGCTAATAATAATAAATAAATACAGGAGATGTTCCCAATGCATAGTAGGATATGCGTGTGAGATGCATGTGAGGCGCCAGGTGTGAGGAGCAGATCTGGTCTCCATTTCATAATTTTATTTTTACCCCTCCCCTTCTCTTCTCTCTCTGTCACTCTTCCTGTTTTCTTGGCAACTGATTACCATTTTTCTCCATTTCTCTGCAACACTTAATCCCACCACATAAAAGTCACAACACTTAATCCCTAGTTATCTTAGCACTAATACTAATGTGATTTAGTTTCATGAATGGGACATCAGTTTTCGTTTCTTCATAAAAGTAGAGAGATGTTTGCTTTTGTAGCTTATAGGTTGTGAGGACCATATTTTCGCACAAACAGATATTTGTGCAGGAATGGGAACTGGTCCTCACACTTGGGTGCCTCATATGCACATCCACCGTGCGTTGGGAACATCTCCCGTAAAAAATAATTTACAAGTATGGGTAATGTTCCCAATGCATGGTAGGATGTGCGTGTGAGGCACCCTATGTGAGGAGCAGATCCGGTCTCATTTGTGCAATGAATATTACACTGTTGGCCATTGAGATGGTTGTGCTTTTCCTTTTTGCTCCATTTCTTTATTTTTAGGGTACATTGGTTTCCAGATTAGGTGCCCGGACTCAGAATTGGAATGGCCCATTTTGATTCTTATTATTTATTTGGCATGAATGAGATTCTGATTCCTATTCTTGGGGGAATGGCCATTCCAAACCCCCACAGGGAATGTGATTCACATTAAAGAGTCTATCAAGAAGCAAAGAACAAATGACAAAAAGCCCCCAAAATCCTAATATTAATAAAATTGTAATAAATTAATAATAACAAAAAGATTAATTATTAAATATAATAATAATACTAATACTACTACTACTACTAATAATAATAATAATAACATTAATAATTAAATAATAAAATATTATGAAAGTAATAACATAATAATTATAATGAAATAACAATATAATAATAATAATAATAATAAAATATTCACAAAATAATAATACTATAATAAAATATTTATAAATTAATGATAAATACTAATAAAATAATAATTGTATATTTATAAATTATCAATAAAATAATAATATAATAATATATAAATTAATAGAAAATTGAAAATTTTCAGTTGATCCCAATTCCAACTCCCAATGAAACAAACAACAACAATCATAATCTGATTATGGTTATTGATTAAATCAAATAAGCATCAGGAATAAGTGATTCCGATTCTAGAGGATTTCGATTCTGATTTTAATTAAGGTCCTATTCGTGAACCCAACGGACCCTTATTTTTTATGCGAACGAAGAGTTATTTGATTCTAAGTTTCTCACCAGGAAGAGGAGATGGATTAAGAGAGAAACATTATATGTTTAGCGTCTTCTATTTCATGAGTACTTCCTAACTTGTAATAGAAGTTTCTGTCCTTGTCTTGATATAGGAAGGGACCTTTGCTGTTTTTCACCCTTTGAATCCAACTAAATTTGCCTGTCAAAATAGCCTTGGGATATAAACTTTTCCAATGCAGCAAATTAGCAAGAAAATGTTCACATGTTGAACGCTCCTTACCTTTGTCTTGCAGCATTTGCAATCAATTGATGCCTTCTTTAGCATTGAAATCCAGAGATAAACATCATCGTCATCCTTGGTGGTTTTTGTAGCGGCACAGGAGAGAGGAAGGGAAGAAGAACAAAGAGAGGAAGAAGGAAAAGAGATGCTATGGCATGTTTTGAAAATTTAATGAACAACTAGGGACATTTTGGCCCTTTGCATTTAATTTGTTAGACTTGGTGTTTAAAAGGTCAATAAGGTACATTTAAGTTGCATTTGGCGTTGCTTATTTTAAGGACTTATTTCCTTTTTACAGTTAAAAATTCATTGTTCATAGGAGCATTTTAATTGCAAAAAAAAAAGAAATAAGTTCTTATATAAGGAATGCCAAATGCAGCCTTTGCATATCGGATTATTGATCCATTTCTATCCTACATTGCATATTGGATTTCGTCTTCATAAAATTTAAGATAAACTTCTAGCACAAATTTAACCTGTAAATTTTCTGAAATGCCCAAATATTATATTCAGTTTAATATTCAGACTAACCTATTCTGATATTCAATTTAACATTAAGAACAAATTTATCATACAAAAATTGGATTAAAGTAGAATTTAAAAATATAATAAACAAGTATAATAAAAAAATATTATAAACAAAAAAGTTAAAAGTAGAATTTAAAAATATAATAAACAAAATCTGACTCGAACAAACCTATATGACTAAACCTATTCCATATGATAAAACTCAGAAAAGGGAATGGGAAAAAAAATAGAAGATGGGAGAAGAAAGATTATCAATGACACTGTTGAGTCGTGAATAGCTGAATGCGAGGCAACCAGCTACTAGTAATGGTCAAGATTGAACCAAACAGGCAAACGGCAAGTCAACAAGTCACAATCTACGACCGGTCACCAGCAATGGCAGTAGGTAGCAACATAGTGGTGTGCGGCGACTAGGGTATTTCGCCTTATTCTCACTTTCACTCTTTCAACTGTTTAGAAGTTAGAAGAGAGGAAGAGTCTAGGATATTCACTCCACTTTTTATTTTTACTTTTGTTAGATAGGACCTCATTTTTAAATTTACAATTTTAGACTTATGTAATTAATTAAATTATATTATATTATTTTAAAACAAAATATTAAAATGGGGTATACATGTTATTTTATAATAATATTATACATATGTGAAGGGTCGGATTGGATTAGATCTTTTCCGATCGAATCAGGGGGTGATTCGAATTCCAAGCGGATCCAATTTCATGATCCGATCGGATTTGGAAGTCTGAAAAAAGGATATCCGAATCCACTAATTTCGGATTGGATTCTGAATCGGATCGGATCCGACCCATTTGCACCCCTATTTCCGTCGTCATATACGACGGAGTGTCACGGAAAATTAACGATGAGGGAGGTTTTATAAAATTGTTAGAAAACTGAGAATACTTTTAAGATAATACGAAAAGAGTAAGGGTAGAGTTAACTATAGCTTGAGAAAATTGCGGAAAAAAACTGTTGCCACGTCAGACAACGTGTAAGTCACCCGCGGGTGACGGCGACCCAGGGCAGAGTTGGGTTGGGGTTGATGAGTGAGGGAGTGGCCTCTCTTCTTCGTGTAGGCGGCGTGGCGATCATCCTTTGATTCCTTTTTCCCTGCCTGCCTGGCTTGGGTTTCTCCGCCCTTCATCGCTATCTCCGTCGCCCGGCCCCCTTCTCATCATACTCATCTCTCTCTTCTTCAGTCTTCACTTCAGAACATTTCTTACCGGTAGTAGAACTCAAAGGGCGCAACAATGTCTTCAGCTTTCCCAGCAATGAAGATCCTCCAGCCGCTTTCCACCACCAGATCTCCAGAGAAACCCTTATTCGATCTCCTCAAATCCCCCTCTTCTTTCCTCGGCTCCGCCAGCAAATTGCGCTTCAATGCTCAGAAACCATCTCCTTCTTCTTCTTATTCTTCTTCTTGTCACCGTCCATCCACCATTGTCGCCGTATCCGATGTTGTCAAGGAGAAGAAGACTCTCAAATCTAACTCCTCTCTCTCCAATCTGGTAACGACCATCTCTTCCCAAAAGCATACATCTTAATTTTAAACCAGTCAATTTTTTTGCAGATCTGGAAACTCTAATTCAACAATTCTCTGTGATTTACAGTTGATCACCAAGGAGGAAGGCTTAGAACTCTACGAAGACATGGTTCTTGGAAGAGCTTTCGAGGACATGTGCGCCCAGATGTATTACAGAGGTAAAATGTTCGGCTTCGTCCACCTCTACAATGGCCAGGAAGCCGTGTCGACCGGCTTTATCAAACTCTTGAAGCAGGAAGATTATGTCTGCAGTACATACCGGGATCATGTTCACGCCCTCAGCAAAGGTGTTCCTGCTCGTGCTGTCATGAGTGAACTATTTGGCAAGACTACCGGCTGCTGCCGAGGCCAGGGTGGGTCCATGCACATGTTTTCCAAAGAGCATAACCTCCTTGGTGGCTTCGCATTCATCGGGGAAGGGATTCCAGTCGCCACAGGTGCTGCTTTCACCTCCAAGTACAGGAGGGAGGTTCTCAAAGAGGCGGGTTGCGATAGTGTAACCTTGGCCTTCTTTGGGGACGGTACCTGTAACAACGGCCAGTTCTTTGAGTGCTTGAACATGGCTGCGTTGTGGAAATTGCCAATTGTTTTTGTCGTGGAGAACAATTTGTGGGCAATTGGGATGTCTCATCTGAGGGCGACTTCGGATCCGGAAATTTGGAAGAAGGGACCAGCTTTCGGGATGCCTGGGGTGCATGTGGATGGGATGGATGTTTTGAAGGTGAGGGAGGTAGCCAAAGAGGCGATTGCGAGGGCGAGAAGAGGAGAAGGGCCGACTTTGGTGGAGTGTGAGACATATAGATTTAGGGGACACTCTCTGGCTGATCCGGATGAACTTCGTGACCCTGGTGAGCTTTTGAATTTTGTTATCTTAGTATATTTTGTTTTTCCTTTTCTTTAGATGCCTTTCCTTCTGAGTATTTCTGTCATTCTGCATTTTGCCCCATTTACTGTTTCTTTTGTGATAGAATTCGTCATCTTCTTAACGTTGTGAATTCTGGTCTTGAACCACGAGAATCTTATTCATGATTTTCAAGGAAGAAAAGTTGGAAGTTAATTGGTCTCTCGACCTAGTTATTAGCTTGGTGTATGCGCTATTTAAAAGACAAAAGGCTCAGTAGAAGTAGATGGATGGGTCCCAATAATTTCTTATCAGTGCATGAAAAAAATAATTATTCTTCAGTCCAAGTGTACAATTGAAATACATGTGGTTTCTCGTTTGACCATTTGCTGATTCATCTTATTAGGAATTGATTGATAGCAATTAAGATCCTAAATGTTAACACCGTAGGGTTTATGTTTTAATTCAGTGACATTCTACCTAATCTACTCCTCTAATAACTAGAAGAGGAAAATTATGGTAATATAAAATCAAGCTGACCAAATAGATATTTGAAACACAATAGATACAGCAGCAAGTCCATCCCCCAATATGAGGAATCTCTAATTAATCCTGTTCCTTGCTAGTTCATCTGGGCAATCAATGGCCTTGCCTCCCTTATGTGATGCCACAAAGCCCAAGGACTGTCTGACAATGAACTCATCGAGCCTACTATAACTGCTTTCAAGTTTTTTTTTTTTTTTTTTTTTATAATTTATTTTGAAACAGATAATTGCCTTAAAGTTTTATTCCTTCAATAACAAGGAAGTCACTGATCCATGGTTCTGACAGGGAATAAAATTTCTAGCTTTTGTTGCTTTTGCATCTCCAAGGGAGTAACCTTGTCTTTTTCCTTGACAATTTTATTATGCTACCCCAACGAGTTGCAATTTTTAGCATTAGACTTTTGTGTCTCATGTTCTATCTGTTCTGAAATGTTTTGTTTGTTTCAGCTATAAAAATCACTTCAATCAGTTTATGTCACCTTTCTAATTGGGCAAAATTCCGATGAAGCACTGTAGAAGTGTAGAATTACTATTTTTATTTTGTAGAGTGGTTTTGATGGATGGGATTTGACATTCTTATTTGTTTTGCATTAATGTTTGAGCAATATTTTAAATGATAAAGGGCATAGTTTTAACTGACCCACCTAAACATTGCGAATTTGTAATAACTATCTCTTTTCTTTGCTGGTTTTTAGTGGAAGTGGTTGACTTTTTAACAATTTTTCCATAGGCATTCATTGGTGTAGGTTATTGGGAATGCAAGAAGCAACACATGTATAAAATGAGTGTTGCAAAGATTGAGAATGCTGTGAATGGATGAGTAGAAAGACTGAAAGGATTCAATCAGTAAAACGAATGGATTAGTAAAAAATCTAAGGTATCCTAGTTGTTTATAAGACGAGGGGAGTCAACTAAGATGGATTGGTCATATGCATGTGGGAAGCACCTGCTACACCAGTAAAATGATAAAGCAGAATATTTCTGAAACACAGCAATAGGCTTCTGCTACAAGTGTTACAAGAAGAGAAAATAGAAGAGGAAACAAAAATAGTTTCTTCTACAGCTGTTGACTATGGTAGAGACAGAAAAAGGATGCTCTCTCTAAGACTTGTTGATAGCCTTATAGACCAAAGACACAGCTTCTAACTTGGATTCTATATCCTACTTGTATAGACTGTAAAAGAAGTAGAAACTTTTCAAACTAGGGCACTTTCATAACATTCTAGTTCTACTGAAGCTACTATATGCAGAATCAGAAATTACTAAAAATTGTAAGTCTTGATTTTACTATAAATGCTAATTATGAAAATTGCCAACCTAAAAAACCAGCCATCTTGAAACATTTAATTAGGGTACTTTGACATGTTGAATTAAGCTGAAAATCTACAGTATAAGCACAATAAGTGTCCTTTACTGCTATCGAATTTCAACTATATCAAATAAGGTTTGACTGGTCAATCAGTTGATTCTTCCCTGGTTGACAATACATTCTGCAGGTTTACTACTTGACCCCTTCAATTTCTTTCCTTGAGACTTGCTTTTTTTATATTTATAATCATATTTTTGATCATTTTTTTTTATAATCATTTGCATCAAATAAGCAATTTTATGCAAGTTGAGGATTCTAAAAAGACTTGTTAGAGGAAAACGAAAACGTGGTAAATACCATATACAAGGATTTGCACTGTACATATTTGTATTTGTGCTCTTCCCAAACTGAGCAGAAGGAGCTGAGGAATCACAATTTCATGAGGAGAATGTTGGCTCCAAGTGCCTCTATGCCTCTTGGCCATTGTGGACCCTGCATCTAAAGATACCTGAAGTCCCTAATCCCAGCTGCGGTTGTAGCTGGTTCCAAAATCATACCTGCCACTTGATTTGCATTGTTTGGGAGTAGGCTGTAACTGGTGCCTGGAACTTGGATTCCAGAGTGTCTGGCTGAAGTTTCTGATGAAGGATGCCTTTAACAGAGTGGAACTATAAAACAAGATTCATGTGGCTGATCACTAATAGTTTGGGGATGAATGACTTGAGTTTGAGTAAGTCTACTAGAAAATGTGTTTCCCAGTTCTGATGGTCTGACCGTCCAGTCTGATCCAAGTCTAACAACATTTTGACTGAATTTAAATTATCGCCTTTATCTTGCTTTTCTTTCAGCAGCTATTTTTTTTGCCACCAACACCTCAACCTTTGGTTCTGTTTTGATAGCTGAGAAGGCTCGCTATTCTGCAAGAGACCCCATCACAGCATTGAAGAAATACATGATCGAGAACAATCTGGTCAACGAAGCTGAGTTGAAAGCCATAGAAAGGAGGATTGATGAAGTGATTGAGGATGCTGTGGAGTTTGGAGATAAAAGCCCTCTTCCATCACGCAGCCAGCTACTAGAGAATGTGTTTGCAGATCCAAAAGGTTTTGGAATTGGCCCTGATGGGAAGTACAGATGTGAAGATCCTAAGTTTACAGAAGGCACCGCCCATGTCTGAGTTTTATAGCTGATTATCCATACATTTATGCAAGCTCTGTCTTCATGGTTAGTGTGAGCGTAGGGTTGATTACAAGTTCATATTTCCAAAAATTAGCTTTTCTTTTTCTTTTTCTTATTTAAGGACGGTGTATGTTCTCAGCTTTTCCTTGTTATCTGATATTAGTTTGCTCTTTTAATTATTTATCCAGGCATATTCTTGCCCCCTACACTTACTGTTGATTATTACTTTTAACAGAAATTGATCTGTTTCTCTGTGGGAAATTCATAAGGAATTATTGGTCATATGTTTCATTATTCTTGTTACAGTGGTTACGTTGATTTTGTTCTTCCCATTGGACCTATATTTGGGTAACCATGAGTAGAAGCTGAAGAATAGTGCATGTACTAGAAAATTTGAAGTTTGAACGATTGGGTATCTGTAAACAGTTTGTGGGTAGGACTTAGGAGATCCGGATTTCAGAATATCATTGGTGCTAATTAATTGGCAAGTACCTGCCACCCCAGCTGGTATGACTCAGGATCACCTGCCCACAAGAACTCTGCCCAAGTCTACTCACAACACACTACACCCGTGAATTGAGAATATCTGCCCCTGTATAATATCATTTAGGAGGATGAGGTGTTCTCCATGTGTAGCTGCAATGTTATGTGGGTAGATATGGGCAGAATTTGTGTGGGCAGGAGATTCAGACTCGGCTGGTGCGGTGTTATGTGGGTAGATGTGGGCAGAGTTTGTGTGGGCAGGAGATCCAGAGTCAGCTGGTATAAACTTCAGTTTGGTGAGAAACATCCGGAAGTGGAAAATGCGTCCACATAACCCATCTAGTCCCATCAATCTGGAAGTGGAAAATGCGGCAATATAACCCATATTTTTTGAGGCCTTTGGGCTAAATCATTCAGGGTCCATTTGGTTTCATGTCTGAATTTGAATCGGAATCTTCCAGAATTGGAATCAGAATGGTTTCCACTCAATTAGCAGTTACAATTCACTAAGAAGATTTGCAATGAAAGGGGAAATGACCAAGAAATTGAGTACAAAGATATCATATATAGATGTATAATGGGCTGGAACGACTCACTTTTGCAGGCCTTTAACACTGTAGCGGACCGTGAATCCGTGATAAATAGATAGATAGTATATGGGCTCTGCCGGGCCTCAGGCCATGCTGGCCGGCACGGCCTACTTTACAAGCTTACAATCAAATCATATATGGCAAAATTTGCCAAGCCGTGAGCTACTTTATTACAATACCTTTGAGTGTAACTGCACACACGCTTTCGAAGTTGACGAGAGCCGCGTATGCAATCCGCAATTACATTCTTGATGCGCCACGGTCGTTCACTTTGCTCCAGTACCAGAAACTCAACAATAGGTTTGGCATCACTTTTAATAACTGTGTTCCAGAGGTGAAGGGAAGGGAATTTGTCATCACCAATGCCTCTAGCAGGGCTCGAGTTTCAGCCAAAGTACAGGGCTCAGATCTGTTATTCACGAGTTGTTCCCACATCCCGACCCACAAATAATTACAGCTGTGCATTGGAAATATCTCTTTTTATCATTCTTGGGTAGATATTCCCAATACATGGTGGTGATATTCTGTAGAAACAACTCGTGGGTAGCAAATCCAGAGTGAGTTGGGCAGGCCTCCAGGGGTGCTGCTCTTGCGAAGAGATCTGTTGATCACAACACATTGCTGGTTATGCTCATCCAGCTGCACATATGGAACATCGATTGTATTGTGATCATCCATATTCTAGATGTGGGGCTGGATGAACATAACCAACAATGTATTGTGATCAGCAGATCCGAACTCGGAGAAAGGAGCCGTTTTCATCTCCCACAATTATACCTGCCTCTGAACGAGCACGACCAACTGCTCCGTCCACATTTATTTTAACGTAATCTGGCACTGGTTTTTTTTTTCCATCTGGCCACATCTCTAATGAGAGCTGTAGTATCGGTAGCAATTGCTCTAGGTCCAAGAGTGGAACCCGTTTCAGTAAAGCCTGCGTGTGTGGCTTCAATGACGGACTGGGGTTGAAATTGTTTCCCTTCCAAAGTCAACTGATTTCTCGCTCTCCAGATAAGCCGCATAATTAGAGTGGCTAGCGTGAAGGTGGGTCTCAACATATTGCCGTTGGTATCATCCCATTTGTGGAGCCAATCTTTTCAGTGTGAAGTGTGGGTGTTTATCAACTCTGGAGTGAAAGAAGAGCTTCGAAACCAGATGGCGATAGCCAGTAGGCAGTCTTCTTCAATATTCCACGTAAATTGTCTAAGAGCCATTTGGATTTGGCATTTGGGTTGGGAGCAGGTTATTAATGCACTTCCAAGAAAAGAGATGAGCTCGTTATGGAATAGATTTCAAGGCCCACAACTGATAACTGCTTCCAAGTGACGTTTGACGAAGGGTCCAAGTTACTTTGAACCTTATATGCAGAACCCGATGGTGCAAAGGACCATCTTGCTTCCACTTCATTTGGGTATTGATCAATTAATTCCGCAACCTGAAGGGAGTTGATACTACTAACATCTTGTTTTTAAAACCCAAGTAGACCCATCTGGCATCCAAACGTCATTGAATGTATCTACCTCAAATGTTTGGTTGATTAATATAAAATTTGCCTTTGCGTGAAAGTTTTTTTTTTTTCTATTTGAAACATTATCGGTCAATTTAAATTGCTGTTGCTACTTAAAAAAATAAGCACCAACGACCAACCTCACGTACGCACTTTTCTAATGAAAAGATTCAACATGATGTGACAATACATTTTTCATCAATTTGTATTGATCAACTCAAAGGTAACAAATACAACCATTTTTTCCCTTCATCTCAACCTTTTTTTTGGCCATCTGAATTCTAGAATACATTAGACATTAGCTGCTAATAGAAAATAGCTTATCCTTTTAGGTTGAATGGTTTTTTACATAATAATATTAGAATCTGTTTGATCAAGTGGTCTAATATTTGATCATTGTCCTCATTATAATTAAATTTAAAAACAAGGTATGTGTGGCCTATACTTATTCGCGCTTCAAGCTCAATAGGGTTTCACGTGATGGGGTGGAGAATAAAAATCTATTCAGTGCTCAAATCCCGTTGCCATCAGGGGTTGGTGGGGGTTAACGGAAAGGGGATGGGCTACCCCTGTTGTGTAGCCCCATGAAGTGAAAAAAAAAAATCAGTTTTAAATTTTTTATTTATAAAAAATATTAAAAAATCATTTTGAGGCCAAAATAGGGGGTTTATTGTGAAAATAACGAGGGATGCATAGATCTTGAAAAGTTACCAAAATAAAAAAGATCACCCCAATTGGACATCGGAGTGCAAAATTATGGCCTCCAAAAGTTTTCATGCATTGAGTGTGCAACCCATGACCCCATGATCACGTTGAACGGGTCAACATTTGAAATGGCCAAATTGGACGATTTTTGACAAAGTCAACGTTTTTTGACCACCTGACAGGTTTTGACTCGACCAAACTTAATCCTGACCAGGTGATGGCTCAAACGGTTCAACCAATCAGGTCAACGATGAATTGAAAACACTGTTCTCACCTAATAGAGCTTAAACTTTTAGGTTGAGTGGTTCCTTTGAGAGTTGCAATTATCTAATCCGTAAGCTGATAGATATGCTTCTTAATTAATTATGTAGGGTTTAGCTAAAAGCTCCCATTTGAGCTAAATCATCCGGTTTAAACTGATAACCCATTCTGACAAAAAAAATAAAAAAAGGCCAAAACCGTTATCTGAGTTAACAGTTTAATGGTTCAACCACCTGGATCAGTTGCTAACCAAATCAATGGTTTTGGACAAAATTGGTGTTAGGGTGAAACAGAGCTGATTAGGTGACTAGTTCCTGGTTTTTCCAGTCCTACCATCTGATCTGGTCCGGTTTTGAAAACCATTATAGTAACATTTAATCACTTTTCTTTTCCTTTAATTCTTCTATTAATCCTGTCCTTTTGTTCTTGAACAAAATGAGAGAGCTTAACTGTACAAGGAGAAGGGAGACATGTAAAAAGAAGCAAAAGAAATAAATTATACTAACATGCAATGACAATTTTCCCAGTATTTGATAGTAAGATTTAAGAAACAACTTGGTTGCATGAGACATGATCCTCTTCCAAGAAGTTTGCTTGCGCCTTAAATCAATACAATACACCTTTCTCCGGAGACATTTTTTTCCATACCATTAAATAGGTAGAATCAAGTGTAGCATAAAATATAAACTTTCCATGAAAATCACAAAACAAATTGAAGAATGATAAGAATGGTTGGGAAAGAAAATCTAAATTTACCTGTGATATTAAGGGCATAAGATCCTTGTATTAAATAATTTAATTTTCCTTGTTTTATGTGCAACCTCAGCTTAAATATGGATAACGAAATAAGGGGAAAATTACAGGAAAGTGAAAGAAAAACTGAATTTGCCTGTGGTTTCAATGACAAATCCTCAAGTGAGATTTACCCATTCTAATGGATGAAAACATACAACCTCTTGGAGTTGAATCATCATTAAAATAGCAGAGGGGATACAAAATCTTTTCTTGTTAGGAGAGGCGAGTGGCAATCCATCAAAAGTGCAGCTCACTGAACAAATGAGTGAATTAACTTGTATTGATTGCAGATTCCAGTCAATGTTCCTCAGTCACAATCTCCTCCCAATATTAGCAAATCTTCTAGCCACTCCAAATATGACTGCTTTAGTCAAGAGGCCCCGGTCAAGTGTAAATGCAACGAGAACAGCTCCCCCAACAACTAGGAGCTTGGGTATGTTCCTTCCCAATGGTTTCTCAGATGAATCTATTGTTTTTACTTCGGTTGAGTCACCAGTAGTTTCTAAGGATCTGAAGTAGTCTACATTGATTTTAGTGTTGATCTGAGCCATGAGCGCACCATGGGAGAGTGGTGACCCTGCTGCTCTATTCTTCTGGTAAGCACGTAAACCAGGATCGATCTTCTTGACAGCTCCCCACATCCCATGGCGAACACCAAGCTTTGCAACTTCCCATGGAATACCCATATCTTCATGGTGAAAGAGAAGCACTTCACATGCAGTCAGCTGACCATCCCCTCTCTTGGATTCCACTGGTTCATATACACCACAAGACATCTAGTTATTGATTGGATTTCAAGCATCAAAAGAACATGAATGGCTAATACTTATATCTTAAATTGTCTCTTAATATCCCCAGGAAAAATCAACTTAATTTCCTCCCGCTCTTAAGAATCTCCCAAGGTTAAGCGACACCTCATACATTTACACAGAAGAAGGGGAAGAAAAAACAAGGAGAGATGAAAGACAAGGTTTCCATAGAGATGTAGTGCTTATTTACCTGCCCGAATAATCCAACTAGAATAGTACAGGTCAACACGTCTTGGTTTGTTGCGCCTTGGGACAGAGGGGCAGGGTACTCCCTGTAACATGAACAAATAACCCATGATTGAAAGTTTCTTTAAAAGTAGGAATCGAACACCAATAAATAAGTGTTGACTATCAGAAAATGTTCAGGTGATACAAAAGGAGATCCCTTTTAAGGGGTGGGAGTTGGAGTTTTTTCCTGCTAGACCATGTTAACCAATTTCAATTCTTGCTATGATTAGTTTTTTTTTATATCATTTGCATTCAAGTTTCAGGACCGAATATCAGTGGAATGTCTAGTCAGATAAACACTAGCTTACACAACACATAGTCCAACAGAAATGCCCAAAAACTACTAGGCAACCAAATTGAGAGCTAGTACCAATCTGTCATGCATACAAAATATATGGAAAAAAGGTCTCCTTATCATGTCATGTAGGGAGTTTCTCTACATCTATTCTGTTTCTGCCACATGGAGCGATGGCATGGCTAATCAAAGCCATCCACCAAGTTGGGAACCCTTTCATTCCTCCAGACTCCAGCTCACATTAGTACCCCGCCATTATGGCATTTCTAGTGTTCTCCAAATGTAATCATAAGTTTCAATGTTTTAAATTAAATTTACTCAAAAAGAGAGGTTTATTCTGACAGCTTGTTAATGGATTTGGGCTCAAATTTGGCTCATTTAAAGTATGGGGAGAGGAAAGTGCAGAGCCATTTTGGGCCCCAATGTTATTGGCACATGTTGTACTCCTTGGTCATTCAAACTGCTTTGCTAAAGAATCTAACTAACGATGATGAAGCCAATGCTAGCAATCTATTGGATGGAGACCTTTTGGTTCAGCCAAGTGTTCAATCCCCTGGACCACATCCACCCTTTGTTCCAGTGGCCTTCTCCATGAGTGATATTAGTCATAAAAAATCTCAATTATAGACCCTTATAGAAAAAGGCCTATATCCTAGATTTAAGATGAAGCTTGTTTCACAAATAGATGGTTGAAAGGGGAACAAAACAACTGTATAAAGAAGGGAAATAACAAAGCCAGAAGGCTCATGAATCCTATTTGTTCCATTTCTTTGAGAAGGCTCATGAAATTGTCTCATTAGCTTGTATTAAAGAAGGGAAATAACAAAGCCAGAAATAGCATTGTGAGCTGCAAAAGTTAATTACTATTTGTCTCTTCCAGATTGACAAAGCCAGAAGTAGTGTTTTAAGAGTGCAAGGCTCAAAAAACAAAAGCACAAGGGGCATTTTGTGCCTGAGACGCAAGGCGAGATGCACACCTTTTTGAAGCAAGGTGCAAACATGCAAAAAATACCCAAAAAATAAAAAAGCAAAAAAAATATTAAACACAATATTAATTAAAATATAAACTTAAAGTTTAAATAAGTATTTTGAAAAACCTATTGTCTCAAATTAAAATAATGTAAACATAGCATCTAAAACATATTAAAAATGAAAGTTTTAAAATAAAATCAAACATATAAAACATATTCAAGCACTGTAAAACTATCATCTCTTTATTTTTTTTCCCAATTGCAATACTTCAAATAGTTATTCTGATGTTAAACATTTTGCATTCTTGATTTTATGAGCCAACTTTGTACCAAGCCCAATCAAGTCCATGTTAGGGTCTTAGCAATTAGGCATACACCTTTTCAAAGTGCTGCATGGTTGGGATTCCTTTTTTTTTTTTTKGGGGGGGGGGGGGTGCTAAGCTGTTTCTTTTCCATCCAGAGAAGGTAAATGATAACTCAACATAATGCAGGTGATCTCAATCAACAAGATAAATAGCATAAAATAGTTAGAAAGGAAAATTTCTTAATCAACTAAAATGGAAACAGAATCATATTAATAAGATATTCACAACAAATCTCAGAATTGGTTTCCCCTTTCCATACCTTTGTAACACAGTAATATGCATTTCCAGATTCCCAAATTCGACGTCCAATTATGTATTCTCTATCACTACAGAAGAAGGGAAACTGTACCACAGAATGTTGGGAACCATAAGCATATGGAACCAAGAACGATGTTTATGCAAAGATAGTAGGAAGACAGTTCCCTCACCTTGCGGATCCAATGGACCACCATAGTTCCTGTGGTCGGGCACTGCTCCAATGTAGCAGAATATTTCAGCATGTCGTCCCACTTAGATCGGAAATCATCATCCCAGTAGAAATCCCTCACCATCTCAGGTGTAGCATCCTCGTAGACAGTTCTAAAACGATATTGTGGAGGACCATTCTAAAAAATGTTGATTGAAATACACCCAAATAAGATAATATTGGAACAATGTTACAAAATTTGCAGAATTAGAAGTTCTCCAAAATTAGCATACAAACTACAGCTTCGGGATGCCACTGAATTTGTTCAACTAAATTATAGAGAGATGGCCTACCTCTGGATCTCTCTGCCAAGCTTGGTAGCTCATATTAGGAGTAGAACGGTCCATCATATGCATCCACGCTGGACCTCCATCTTTCATCTCTGCAAGCTGACACAGAAACTCTAGATCTTCTTCAGTCATAGCCACCGATTTTTCCATTTCAAGTTGTGACGAACTGCAGGAAAGATGTAAGAAGGCCGGGAGGTTAGACACCAAATTGCAAGGTAATCTTTATTTCTACTTGTCGAGCTCATCATTCAAACCAAAGTTAATACCATTAGTATGTAAGACATTAATGAAATAACTTAGGAATCAAATTAACTAAATAAACAATTGGGGGAAATTTTCAACTCAGTATGAAGGATAAGACCAAAGTTTAGTAGAAAAATCAAACATACCCGCAGACAGAATCCGTGGTAGGTGGTGAGGAGAAAGTCTCCTTCTCCAGACCATCGTCGGGGATCAAAGAGTTGCAACTGGGGTTTGTTGCCTTTAATGAACTCAACCTTGGGGAGGATGAGGAGGGTAACAGAGAAGGAGGATTTGAAATTGAAGAATCCAATTTGTCTCTCCCCAAACTGGCCCATTTCGGCTTCCAAGACCATCCAACCACAATTCCAACAAGAACAGCAATCCATAGAGGACCGAAAAACCCCATGAGCTCCATGAAGATATCCCCAATATTGGGTCTCTCTAGAATCTCGAACAAAGCCGAAACCACAGCCATTGAAGAGAAAGAATCGATAACCCGGAAAAAAAAATAGGAGAAAAAAAGAGGAGTAGGAGGAGGAGGAAGAGAATTAAAAAAAAAAGGAACCCTCGATTCAATACAAATTATAGAGCAATAAGCACAGCGATAACTCGAGGGTTCCGACGGGGGAAAAGTAACAGGGAAAATGAAACCCTAGAAGCAAAACCCCCGCTAACTAATAAAGAGAAGAGGAAGAGGAAAGATGAAAGAGAGGATGGAAGGAGATGCAGATATGGACAGCAGAGGAAAGATGAAAGAGAGGATGGAAGGAGATGCAGATATGGACAGCAGAGGAACTGAAGAAGAAAACGATAGTATGCATACAGCAGCTTGGGATAAGGATTTAAAGATAAGCGGCAGCGAGGCGTGTTATAAGGATTACCGTAGGCCCAGTCTTAAATTTCAGACTCAACACAACCTTCTACATTTGGCGAACAAAATATCCACAGCAGTGGCCCAAAAATTGGCGCTAAATTTAGAGGAATCGGGACCAAGAGATGCCGAAGGATGAAATGAATGCTAGAGAAATATATACTGCAGTGGTCTCTTCTGTTCTTTTCCTGGCCAAAGCCCAAACCAAACCCTCCACACAAATGATAAAGGGAGATCAGAGATGTTTGTTTTACGTGGTTGCAATTGTCTCGTTTTTCACGTTCGCTGACTTGGATGATGATCTTTCCTCCTCTCCTCTCAGAATTTCAGAATTCAGAATTCAGAGTATTATTTACAATTAAACAATTGCAGTGACGCGGTGCAGCGGTGGCTTTGGTTGGGAATTGAGATGAGCTATGGGTTATAATTTATGCTCCGTACCATACCAGATCTCCACGCCAAAATTTTAACCACAGTGAAAAGAAATCACGACGATCCCAATCCCACCATGGATGATATCAAAATTCACTCTTGGACTGATGACTCCTTTCAAAGAATCAAGAGTGAAAAGGACTGAAACTTTGGTTGGTATCGTCTGAGTGCGAGTGAGGCGCGGACACGGTATGACGGTTTGTCATTGATAATATCACATATTGTCGTCTATTAATTCTTAATGCAACAATTTTTATTTCCAAAAAATTATATAATCAATTAGATGAAGATGTGAAAATGCCGAGTATCTGTCAAAAGAAAAATGCCCAAAAATTATATGTACATGATAGGGTTAGTGGAGAACTGGTTCTGTCTTACACATTCTAACTTGTTCAAAATTGAACCTGCGAGGCTGGAAATTAGAGATACAAGGTGAGGACGCTTCCATTGGGTCAAGTCAATTCAAAAAAATATATCACTGTTCAAACGAGGACGGTGTGGACTGTGGACTAACTTTTTTTTTTCTTCAGGCTAGAATGTAATGTATGACCGACCAGTTGGAACTTGGAATTAGAAAGCTTATGCAGACCTTAAACCTAACTAAAACACTTATCTCAACAGGAATATGGGGCCAAGAAAGCAAAAGTCCCACAAGAATTAGTCTTAGAGCTAAACTGGGTTGAAGATTGTTTTGGCCTAGTAAGAGTACAAGCTTATAAGATCAACATGCCCATCCAAAAATCAAGGGAAGGACCGAAGGAGAGTTGTTTCTAAATTTGAAGTCCAAAACAGACTTTGAATTACAACAAATAACTATATATTTTTCCATCCCTTAGGCCTTATCTGCACAGCCAAAAGGCATGCCTTAAAAAAGATGGCTTGAAGTTCCGCATCCAAAGGGTTAACCACCTTTTCCAAGATTCAACAGGAACCAGAAAAGGAACAGATACCAAAAGTTCCCAAACTCCACCATCACATTTCATTACCACAATATCTTCCTGATAAAAAAAAGCCTTCTATCAAAACACTTCTTTGAAAATTTACACTGCTAACCAACTGCTCTATATTAACTATCCCATTTCTGAAGTTCAATACCCAAGTATGAAAATATGAATTACTATGCTTTGTCAAATGTAATAAAAGATGGTTGCTACCCAAGACAGTATACTCATTTTATCTGGAAAGTCCAATATTAATTAGCGCCCTCATAATAGTTAACAAACAATCCAAAATTATTGAGAGACTGTTTGATAACAGCCGAGGCTGCTGAACTGAATGACTTATTGTTTTGTTATTCAGTGGATAAAATAATTAAAGAGTAAATTATTTAAAGGGCAGTATTCTACCAACTTCAGCTTCAACCATTAAGAAGCACATAGCCTCCTTAAAAACTTATTCACTAAAAGACAAAGTAATAATCTTTTCAGTTTAGACATTTCAGCTGTTATCAAACAACCCCTTAACGTTTAACTTAGAAACATTCAGATTCCAAGGACTAGCAATAGGGCAAAAACAAAATAAATGAATCATCCACTCCTCATTACTACAAAACAAACAACTTATATATTGAACAATACCTTTATGATATAAACTTGGTTTATCACCTATAAAATTTTTATAGAGTCACCTTTGGGGTTCTCAACTCAAGTTCATTTACTTTTCTTGTAGGAGGTAGCATCTTTCAATGTCATTATATATATATATATATATATATATGCCAATTTAAGTTGGTTTAGTGATTGGGTGGTAGACCTGTTTATGGGCCGGGTCAAGTTGGGCTTTGTCTTTGTATTAATAGAATATACTCAGGCTCGATCCCAAGTCTGGCCCAACCATCGAGCCTAGGTCTTGAGCCTGAGCCTAGATAGAAAATTGGGAAATGATTTTTTTTTTCTTTTTTACTCAACAAACAACTATTTTATTTATATTAAAGACCTCAAAGCCTAAAAAATAATGAAATATCTCACTATTACTTGAAAAAGGAGAAGAATAATAAAGAAGATATATATATATATATATATTATATTTTTTATTATATAAAATATATTTTTATTATATAATACATTATCAAGTCGAGTTTGGGCCCGACTCGGGCTTTTTAGAGAAAGCCCAAGCTTGGCTCGAAAAAAAGGTCAAGCCCAATGTTTTAGGCCTAAGCTTGAGCCTACGAGCCTAAAATCCTGTCCAAGCCCAACTTAGATTGAGTTGCGACAGGTCGGCCCATCGGGCTACTTGACCCATGAACAGGTTTATTGGGTGGTAGGCAAATCATGGTGGAGTTAGATTCTCAAAATTCAGTATCTACTATTAAAGCAATGTTATTGTAAGAACTAGAAATTAGCAAAGCTGTTCAAAGATTTTTTCAAGTTATTAAACCAAGACAAGTGGATTGATGCATTGCTTTCAAGAAGCAAATTTTAGTGCTAACAATAGCAAATGTTACTATGGTTCATAACAAGGTTCAAAATATCAATTTCAAGTATTGTATCGGTAAGCTTGGATATGAATATGCTTTGAAAATGCAAGGGTATGGTAAAAATATATATACACACTTGAATACATTAGTGAAATTCATATAAATCCCACCAATACATTAACAACACTAAATCTAAAGTTCAAATATATAATAGAAAGAGGAGTGTGTGGATGCCAAGGGTCTCTCGCCACAAGAGTGAGAGTCTCCCCTTCTTGCCGTCACACATGCGAAATATTATTACTGTTCTCTACCCCACTCTTTATGTCAATGTTTGTAACGTCTTCCCTCCACCCATTAAATCTATCATTACTCTCTCTAGCCCCCTCTTTGTATCTTTGAAACTCTTTTGACCCTCCCAAACTATGGACTTTGGGTGGGGTTAAGGGCCAACCCAAACCTATCCAAATTTCTATTCAACGTTTGCTAACTGGTGATTATGAGTAAGGTATAAACACATAATAAATGCACATTTTAAATTCTTAATAGTTTATATGGAGAGATACATTACGATCATCAATAACAAGAACCCAAAACATGTAGATATCATACAATAACTTTACCAATAATACATCAAGCAATGTTTAGATTTCAATCTATTAAAATAAATTATTTTTGTACCTTGAATATCATTTAAGATATATAAAATAAATTATTTTTATAATTTTTGGAATTTTCTATTTTTTCAAAAATGCATAAATATAATAAATATCACAAAACTAACAAAAAATATATATGTTTTCGCAATTAGAATCCCAAAATACATTCATCAATTGAACATGAATGGTTTTCTACAAAAAAGGAACATGAATGACTAGATAAAAAAAAATGAAGTTGCCTTCTTCCTCTTTTAAAGGAACATGAATATGTTTTTGCAGGTTGGAAGTGAAGAAACAATCCTAATTATACTTAGAACCAAGGGTGTCAATGGACCGGTTTTAGACTGGACCCCGTCCAATCCAAAATCAATTTGGACGGATTGGATGGACAACAAGACATATTGGATCGGACCAGTCCGGTCCAAATCATTTATTAGATTGTATTGGACCTGATCCATCCATAATAAATTTATACTGGATTGGGTTGGATTAAGTTAATATTTGGTCCATTGATATAAGATAAGAATGTAGGTGTCAATATACTGGATTTGGATTAAAATCAATTTAAATTAAAATGAATTTGAACAGATTGGATGATCCAAACATTGAATTCGACCGATACAAAAATATTCATTGGATTGGATTGGACCTGATCCATTTGTAATGAACTCACATTGGACTGGATTGGATTGGACCAAATCCAGTCCAATTGACACCCCTACTTAGAACAAACAACATAATGATAAAGTTATGAAAATTTGGGAAAATCAGTTGATACAATATTAGCAAGGGTGGAATTTCCACAAATGTGCCCAATCCATGTGTTACCACCCCTTCTGAATACAGATACAATAAGGCCTATTTTGAGGGTATTGTGATGATAATATAAACCGTGGCTCAAAATGAGTATTTTAAGGAATATGAAAGTCTATCCCCAAATGTTAGTTTGCATGTGATTTTTGATATGTACCGGGTGACTTTGTCTAGATGTTGTAATAGCTTTTTTTAATTAATGCTTATTGGATATTTAAAAAACTAAAATAAATATGTATGAAAAGAAATATGCTTTGTATTTTTTGGTGAATGCACTTGTGTTTTCTTTAGGTTGTCCATGCATCAGTGTTGAGTATTTTTTTTTATATAAAACCAAGAGGGGCTCGATTGGTGATAAGGGTAGATTCGAGCCTAGCCAAGCCGAATACTTGGCTATTCGAGCTCGGCTCGCATGAATAGTTTCAAGTTCGAGCTCAAGCTCAGCTCGGTTCATAGCTCACAATTTCGAGCTCAGCTTGGCTCGAGCTCGACTATAAGCCTTTTCTTTGAAAAATAAAAATTATATGTATAAAATTATTTTTTATTTTTTAGGCAAAAAATTAAGAATTATAAAAATTATTTAACATTATATATACAAAAAATAATTATAAAAATTATTTACTATTATACATAAAAAATAAAATTATTTATTATATATATTTTTATATATGTATGTATGTATGTATGTATGTATGTATGTATGTATGTATGTATGTATGTATGTAATAAAAATTATTTATTTAATACTATGCTTGCGAGCCTCATCAGTCAAGCTTCACTGGGCTCGAGCTCGACTTGAGTAGCAAACAAGCCTATACATTGGGCTCGAGTTCAGCTCGAAGCTCTATTTAAACCAAGCCAAGCTCGAATAGCTCGTAAAAGGCTCAACTCATGGCCACACCTAATTGGCGAGTTAGTCTGCTGCTTGATTGGCCTCCAAGTACACATGACTATAGAGAATCTCTTCATTCACTCGATTCTTCATCTTCAAACAATCCTTTACAATGTTCTACAAATTCCAAGGGGATCGATGAGAAGCTTGAGACAAGAAATCACGAGCATTGAGACACCCTCGATGGTGATGGAATGGATAGTGAAGTTTGCTACCAAATTATGGGTCTCCCAAGCAGCCCAAGCTTCCACCATGTTGATGGTTGTCGAGCCCAAGTGGTGGGCTTTATAATTTACCACCTCTCCCAAAATGTTTCTTGCAATGGTCACAATTGAGCACATACCATTGTTTAAACAGGATGCATCAAAA